AACTTGTGACAGACAAATCTCAACAGGTCCAGGGTTTAGTTCAGCATCTCAAAATTTACCAAAATACTTTTCTGGCTTCATACTGGTTGGGTTGCCAAAGGGCCTCCTGATGCTGGAGTACCTTGGATTATTATTCAGTGCCATTTGTGCTCCTGAACCCCTTGTGTACATCTGAAAATCTGTCTTCTCGTTGTTTATTACCATTCTTTGTACTGCAGTTGTGCCTGAAAGCCTTCTGGGGGTCCCCTTATGTTGGCTCTTGTACGTTTGTCCACAAAGGTTGCAGCTTAAAACAAGCTGAGGGTGTGGCAAGAACAGCCTTTTGTGTGACATCTTGGTATTGCTGCTTCAAGACAAATATCCGGAAAAAGGGAGGTTGAATCACACCATAAATAAATAAATAAATAAATAAATAAATGAAATAGGGACTGCTTTGAGCCTTGGACAAACATTTGCATTACACTTCGGGGCTGGTTTGTATTTGATTACTGATTTGCCATTCCCTAGCTGCCACTCAGCCAGCTGGCGTACCTGTGTTTATATTTGTTTTAAATGTGCCTGCCTGAACTCTAAATGCATGTGCAGGGAATAATACACAGTACCCGGAACAGATCCATAGAAAAGGCTAGGATTTTGCCTTTCAGTAAAACCAGCCTGTCCATCCACAGAAACGTTAATTTCTCACATGATTAATTAGGTTACATTTCCCTTTGTGCAGCAAGAGATATGACCAGCATTCCCTGTAAGCTGTATGCTTGGACAGGCACCCAGGAGAGAGTCAAATGCTGCCAAGCTGATTAGCAGAGAGCCCACACCTGGCAGCATCAGTTTCTATTGGTGGTGCACATGTGCACATGCCCTGGTGCACAGGTCAAAATGAGTTCTGCACATGAATGGAAAAAATTAGAGGAACTATTGTTCCTCACGTCTTAATGCAAACACCCCGGCTATATCTACACTGGCATGATTCTCCGGAAATGCTTTTAACGGAAAAGTTTTCCGTTAAAAGCATTTTCGGAAAAGCGTGTCTAGATTGGCAGGACACTTTTCCGCAAAAGCACTTTTTGCGGAAAAGCGTCCGTGGCCAATCTAGATGCGCTTTTCCGCAAAAAAGCCCCGATCGCCATTTTCACGATCGGGGCTTTTTTGCGGAAAACAAATCTCTGCTGTCTACACTGGCCCTTTTGCGCAAAAGTTTTTCGGAAAAAGACTTTTGCCCGAACATGAGCAGCATAGTATTTCCGCAAAAGCACTGACAATCTTACATGAGATCGTCAGTGCTTTTGCGGAAATTCAAGCAGCCAGTG